TGGCGTTGGAAGCCCGTGATGTGAAAACTTATAAACAAACCTACTATGGAAAGGATAAGAAGAACATGTCAGTGTTTCTATGAATGGTAAATCAGGTTTACCTGGCCTCCCGGTTTTTACGACTTGATTGAAAATCGAAGGATTCATAGTGACAATTTTTAATGGGACTCAACTTTCCTTAATTCAACTTCTTTTGGACCCCTGAGCGAACTGTAGCACAAAGGTGACTTTTATGTACTTGTTTGCTGTTGATATCATCAGTCGTGCTGTTTATGACTGATCGCTGCCCCTTATTGGTTCACTTATTTTATTATGCGAATTACAATGCTCCTGATATCGCCTTCGATTATCTTTTGTTTTCGTTATGTTTACTCTGTTGCGTTGGCAAATGACAACTTCATAAAACTGTACTTGATTCTAGTGTGGGTTGTGGTTAGCTTCACTTCAAAGGGAGTGTTTAGTTTAGTATATTGCGTGATGTTTAATTGTTTTCATGAGTGCTTTACACTTGTCCACCAGCTATACCAATGTGGGATGGTTTTACTGGATTAATCAATCTACAGGTTTAGCCATTGTCTTGTCAAGTCGCAACAAAATTTTGTACCATCTCTCTCTTAGTCACAAAAAGGATTATCGTACATTGGGATCCAATTAAACCACACCAGCGCTTGGTCTGTTCAGGGATTCAAATTCGATAAAGATATTTGGCAGTTTGTTAGTTACGGTAGACAACGAAAAAAGTGTGTTGTTATTTGGTCCACCAGCTGAATAAAGCATGCTGTGTCTAAATTCGTGTAAGTACTAGACCAGAAAACCGAAAACTGGCGTTCAACCATATTGGAAAGGATTAGTAATAAAACCAAAAACTGGCGTTCAACCATATTGGAAAGGAGTAGTAATAAAACCGCGTTCCACAAATAAAAATAATAAACGCAGACTGATGTAACTTCCCTTTAGTCCAAGGATCACTTCGGTGCATGAGAAGTGAAATAGGGTGATTGTCTATTTTAATCTTCTGTAAGAAGATCAAACCTGTACCTTGATTGAATTAGAAGTTATCTTCGGTGGATGCACTACTGGCCCGAATAATCAATCAAGATTCATCCATTTTGGTGACGAACACCTTCCATCGAATAGTCCAAAAGTCTGGAATGAACACTGTCCTGATCCTTTGAAGAAGAGTTTTGTTGAATAAACAATCTTAGGGATACGTAGACTTGTCTAGTAAAATGCTTGAAAAATACTTTTAACAGTGCCTGTAAAATACTTGTACTTTAGTAAAATACTATTCCATGGAGAAGACTTTCGCACGGAGCATAATACGCTTGAAGGCGATGACAGAATATTGGACTTTACTGTTATTTTCTATCCGTCATCTACTTTGATGGTATAGACAGTAACAGTGGGCTTTTAATCCCTTGTCACACAGGAGATTTTTTCACTGACCGTTACGTTAGGCGGTCCAGTAAACACGGATACAGCATAACCTCACATATGCTAATCGTATCTGGAAGCCTCTGGAGAGTTTTTGATTTCTAGATTATCACTTCACAAGGTGCTGCTATGAACGATGAGATAATGTAACGGAACCTCAGTTAAGGTCCAAGAAATGCACAGAATACAATTGACCGTGTGAGAATGGGTGATCAGACACAATGTTGTGAACTACTGTCCCTTTAATTAATGTGATTCGGAGGACTGTAGTACTGTGTAACACTGAAAACACCTGTTACGTCGTCTGCTACAGTGATAGCAACAGGAAGGATGAAGGCGATCACTTTGTAACCAAAGGAAAATAGATTCTTTATGGGTAGAACAGACATCACCAGCTTATCGCCGTTGTGCTTACAATGAGTTTATTGGGTGAACAAGGACAGTAAAGTAGGCTGTCAAACTTTTGCAATTTCCAGAAAATCAGGCAAACAGTCAGTTTTAAAACAGCCTTCGTGCCATTATGGGACGAACATTCCTATCACCATGGCGATCGGAAATGGTAGAATGAAGAGTCACTGCACGTAGTATTGTACTTTCACAAACTATTTTCAAGGGTAAGATTACCACGATGTGGGGATAACATTGATTACGTACAACCGGTAGTGTTCAATGCTCATAAATCAGATACGTCACAGAACGGTACAACGCATAGAACATTGGGACTTAATAGCTGGTCTGACTCTTATCCTTCTGATAGTTGTCACTCTGTGCATCAGAACATTGGAAAATATTAGGAGCCATCGTGAATTCTGTGAAAAAGGCTCAGCAGCTTATGGATTTATTAGAAGAGTGATAACTCCAGTTATACTGTAAAAAGAGCTTCGCCCGTCGTTTTCCCTAAGAGATTAGACGTGAATCGCTCAGATGGTTTTACAGTTAAATAAATGGGTGATTTAATCAACACACTTGGAGGGATTCGAAATTTTCGGCGTCTGGGAACCTAAGCATAAGTATCATTTCGGTGTTTCACTGCTTCAGCTTGACACCCGCATCTGCGTTTGCAATTTCAGTATGCATGAATATGCACTTAACAGTTTCAGCAATGGATGCATACTCTTACTCTCAGGGAAATTCGTCGGATTTCACAATGATAAGAAATTTAAATAATAACATCCAGCTCTAACATAGCTTTTATGTCATCCGAAGGAATTACATAGGCTTAGGTACTGTCAGGTCATCTAATTCTTGAGAGAAGCTGTCGGGATGCTAATGTTGGGTACGAACCACCGACCACCCGATCAGAACGTTGTACCATAATAACTGAGCTACCCCGAACCCGTTTTAAGGCTAGTCTAGTAAAAGTGGCTTTCGGAGAAACTGGAGGCTGGCTTTCAGGAACTAATTTTCCAATAGGGATTCCTTCCTACATGGAAAGCTTATTTGCGCGCAAAAGCCGACAGGTACTTCACGTTCGTTTTAATTTCATTGGGAATGGCCAACAATAGGGAATTAATATATTTTTCGGAAGATTCAAGTTCGCAACCTTTTCTTCGTCGTTTTAGTACTACGTCGTCTGGTTGATCATCATCGATTGTTGCATGTTGTCTACTCACTTTACGAACCATACACTTAAAGCACAAAATGTTTGGCACGAGGAGATCATTCACAGATTAAGTCTGTCTCAAAAGGAGATCCGGTTGAGCCTCAGCTGAATCTCTCACAGTATTCGTCAGCTAAGCGTGCCACGCAAATGCTGCTTCATGTTTCTACTGCAACGACATTCAAGATAGCGCTGCTGTAGACGTTTACAACGGCTTAGGTTTCAAAGTGGTGATCATCGTCACGTCACTTAATGCACAATTTTGATGTTCATGTGGGCGAACCTGATGAGCCCCGGGAAGAGTGACGTCAACACTCAGCTGTTCAGGTATCTTAATTAGCCTTGCGCGTAGCGCCGTGTTTTTCTGTACGTAGCACTCGACCAAATGACATGTTTTTTTTATCTATAATTCAGGTAGGCAACATTGGCTTGGTCGTAGAAACACCAAAGTAGTCCACCAATTTACCGTAATCTGAAAGGCCGTTTGTTATGGTGATTTGTTGGCCGCCGTTTTGCAATGATTCCACTGGAGTTTGCTCACTTTAACTCGACGATGTTAATCGGATGATCCGGTAGACCTCATTGAAAATGGTTTGACCTGATATAACCCATCTTGGTGAACATTTAGAAGTCGTTCGGTTTATCCTTGAATGGCCTAAAAACTTATTAGAAATATCTTGAACGGCAACAAGGCCTAGTCAAATAACTGATCATCGAAACCGTCAGGGCGACCAGGTGCAATGAAAACGCTCCGATAATCACTCCTAAATTTCATGTGGAAAAGTGCTTCGGATTTGACTAATTCGTTTACTTTCAGGAGGTATTCACTCCTGAGGGACATAAAGACGATCAGTGGGCCATCAGAGGGTTTCATTACGTTCCTGTTATTTTCAGAATTTTTTAGAGGTCGACCGGTCGACATTTCGGCCAGTACATTTCAGCAGATCTCTGAACGTCAAAATGTCCAGTGTTTTTGCACCGCAATCCTGCACAGGGATTGTACTCTCAAAATCAAAATGCGATTGCAAATAATGGAAAGGTGAAGAGCACTAACTTTGCCCATAATAATACGGGAAAAATGGTCTTTCACTCACGCAGCTGTGTTTCAGTGCTTCCTCTGTGTCGTTTGACATCATTTTGTAGCAACAGCTGTATGTTCGTCAACATAGGCCTACCGTATCCAGAGAGTTCTATGTTCCTTTTGATATGATGCTCGGAAAATGGTTTTGGTTCTTGCATTCTATTGGTCACACAGCTCTTGTTCTATAGTGGTATATATCTGGTTTCGTATGGATTCACGCTGTGTTAGAATGAACTGGTTTACAATAAGCCTCATGTGTTCTAGGATAATGATCCCTCTACTCAGTAGAGTAATCGTATCGAATTCACACACTAAAACAACGTAGTTTGCTATTAGCTAAGTCCATGATAGTTTAGGTGATGAATACAATATCTAGGTTTTGTTTGCGTGTCTGGTTTGTATTACACCACAATCTTAGTTTAGAAAAGCAGCCATGCGCGCACCAATATGGGTGACAAAAGGATGCTGGGCTTTTGCCAGCATTCGAGTGCGTCGGTATCTGAAGAACATTAACGTATCTTCTGTTATGCGGTTCGCGTATGCGCCAAGTAGGCTATAGTTACAGAGAATACGGAATTGCCGACTTCCTCCGCCACAGATCCACTTCCTCTGCAACCGCCACCGCCACTGTTGCACTACCTAAATTCCTTACTCGATCCTATTCAAACTTTAGTTACGATTGTACCTTACAAGTTATAACTAGTTTCTCCAAAGACTAGATGAATAGCGCAACAGGTGACTTTACCTTGCAACCTACCGCTTGTTCAGCTTGTTTTCCAGCCTTTTTCAAACCACCCCATACGGTCTGAAATAATTTGAAAACATTCCTCCTTTTGTACTTCATTTGAATATTAGAGGTTTCTATTCTTTTCGACGTCTATTTCAGTGTGTGGTACCATCAACAATCTATCGAATACAGATCAATCTGATACCCTCTACCAGTCTCACAAATTGCCGCCATGAGCAGACGACATTTGGAATCAGCTTTGGTAGCCGGAGGTTTCATCGAATCCGGTCTGACACCATGTTTCCGTTTTACTCGCATCCGATTTGTTCGCTACTGCTTCCCACCGGGTTATGAGATTTCGAAAAATTCATATGAAACAGCAGGCGATAACGACGATGAAGCAAACAGAGAATCGGGAGAAGCATTATTTAACGCCTCTTCGTCCATAACGGCCACATGTACCTGCTGTACGGAAGCAAAGAATGTCCAAGAGGACCAGAGAACTTCACAAGCGGGCAGCGAATCCGTGATATCCATGCTTGGACACGGTGACTGTGAAATGCCTGAACCGAAAAGTACAACCGCGTGTAAATTGCACAGGGAGGAATATTTGCGGAAAAACCCTTGGAGACGTCTTCAAGACGATTACGGAGTACACTCAGTCCAATTCAATCCTGATGGGACTCAGTTGTTAGCAGGCTCCGCTAACACCAGTGTGCGGGTGAGTTCGTATTTTCTTACGACTGCCGTACAATTGTTACAGCTATATATTTGGTATATGTACATGAGAATAAGTAAAGACTGAGACTTTAGAAAGTCATTTCAAATTTATCGTAATAAAGAATACAGCTGCTTTGGAACGGCTAGCTAATTTTGGTCCAGTACGCAACAAGTGGCTGGGATGGTGGGCCCTTTAGAGCAGACCAAGTCGGACATGCTTCGTCATTCCTGATTGGTCAGCATCCATATACAGTATTTCGTTCGCGTAACGCTGAGTACAAATGTCTCCCTTACTTTCTAGGAGAGCAGATCGAGAGAAAATTGAGGAGTAATGGCAGATAGGAACATGTCGCACAAGTCATTTCGACCTTCATTGCGAGATACCACCTATTGAGCTAGTGGAAATCAAGTCGTGAAGTGGACTGAGGAAGAAATGTGGCATAGTACATGTCACCACAACCATATCGGCAGATTACAGGTCGGAACTCAAGATTGGTTGGACGTGCACAACATCTTTCAATTTGGAGGACTAAGTTCAAATAGGTGCAGTAGAGGGAGTGCAGGTGAGGGACTTGAAGAATCTATGAAACACAGGACTGTGAATGTTGTCAAAGCAATTATCCAACGTAGCTTGCTTTCATGTTTCTCGGTTTTTATCGTTTTCAATTTCGTCCGTGGCATACCAATACTATGTGACAATTTATGTCCCAGGAATATTGCGACTCAGGTGACTGTCGAATTCGTGACATACTCGTGCTCATCACATTCATATTGGATCCGTATTCGTTATTGGATATTGCCTTAGTTCACTTGAGAGTAACCCATTTATAAGTGTGAGAGCAGTGTGTCCAATAATTGTTATTGTTCATTGGGATTCGGGACAAAAGCTATAACACGTAGCCACATTTAGAGGAACATTGTTAGCAATGTGGATCTTAATATGTCCTTGACAGTCAGCAGCGTTATGCTCTGGGAATTCATAACCCACTTCTGCATAGTGAGGAAGACAGTAAAAGGTTTGCGATTTGCAGCATTTTCAAGCCCCTTTCTGTTTAGTTGTTTTAGGGTTCATCATGGCGCGCAGAATGCTTGGACGCAAAGCCCTTGGAGTGCTACACAGCGGCTCAATGACCCGTTTTCAAAATTTCGCTGTGAGATCCCTCAGACTAGGTAGGAACAAGCCAAAGTGACGCCGATAGGTTACTACGGCACTCCATCTGCTCAGCATACACAGAGAGTGGCGAACAGTGTTTATACGTGGAACACCGAATGGCGATGCAGAAAATTTTCGGTCGTCGATAGACACGTAAGAGATTTTAATGGCTCATGAGCGTAGAAATTCATGCTGTCGCTTACCCCTTTAGAAGCCTTTTAAAATGAGGACACTGTGAGAGCATAGAAATGCCGTTAGGAGGGTTTTGCTCTGCACAATGCGTCCTGAGAAAATTCATCTATCAAAAATCGGCTAGAATGTGAAGCAACCATTGATTCGGAGTGATACGGATCAATCATGGTCGTTACGATTCATCCTTATTGCTCGCACGGTGTGGCAACAGGAAAAAATGGCCATCCCAAACAACTTATGTTCTTGCACCCTCAGGTTCACACCAAGCTTCACTAGGTGCCTCGAGGGTATGATTTACCAATATCCATAGTTTATTCAGCCCCAAGTTCCTTACTGTCAAATGTAGTATTGATAGACTGTTACTATTCATTTATAAGCTAAATTGTTTGCAATCGTCAGGTAATTCAAACTTCTGACGGTGCTCAACGGATACTTGCGCGACCGTCCAAATGGACCTTAGGCATGCCTGTCACTGTGATCCGGTTTATGCCCCCGAAGTTCATCTGGGCTGTTGGGTGTAATTCCCATGGAGAGGTTTTTGGCTTCAAACCCAATTCAGAAGGCTTCGAAACATTGTTCAAAGGTAAATTACACGTTTGCCCGCCGCGTACAATTGAATAATGACTTGCATTGAAAAAAAAAACACTCATTTCTATAGAAACTCTTCCTGAAATAATGACTTGCATTAAAAAAAAAAACACTCATTTCTATAGACACCTCTTCCTGAAGCTCAGTCGTAACTAAAAGACCGAAGTCAACACATGGCTTATACCAGCGAGTTCAGGTGGTGGGCTACATAGGTTGATTTCTTTCTTTGCATCTGGAATTTTGTGTTCGTTCCTCCTGTTAGGAAAACAAATTGGACGTGTCAATTAAGCAGAATACTATCAGAACTTGAGTGCATAGAGATAGTGTGTAAGTTCGCTCGGTCTAAACTTATGAAGAGACCAATCAGTGTTCGTCGCGTCCTTCATCAGGTGACGAAAGAGAACATTTTTGAATTTTTTTCGCACCCTGCACTTTATCAAACTACGCGGGTTTCTCGCTTACATGACAAAGATATCCAATATGATCCGAAGAATTCCGATTGATAAAGAAGTTCTTATAGGGTTGCCTTTTCTTTCAACGTCTTCTTAATAACCAGAGGAAAATCACCCCAGTCATCAGTTGGAGTGTTTCGGAGCTGCTGATCAGGGGCCTTAACAATGAGGCTACTGGGATTTTCTCCACACGGTTTGCATCAACTTAATGAATAAAATGTAATTTGTATATCCCTGGATATAGAGGGGTTGAAGAAGGTCTTATTTTCCGTGTTTTTTAATGGCGTTTTCTTGAGTTTAGTCATTCTGATCGTTACTGGGTTGCACTGGCAAATCACTGATGGAGGTTTAGGTATTGTATCGTGTTTCTGGCGGTTTCGACAGACACTGTTATTCGAGCCTGAAGTATAAGTCTAAAGAAGCGTGCCGACGCGATTTGAAAAGTTGCTGAGATGTTCTAAGAAGAATTTAAGAAGGTGGCGTAGGATTTTGATTGCATCACCAAATGGGTAAAAACGGAATCCTATTTATATACTTAATAAAGACTGTTCTTTCGATGTAACAGTGTTTTGAATCATAATGGATGCTTTTAATACCTATAGATGCGACTCATTCGTTTGAGAAAACTTCTCTCATTCCAAATTCATGTTGTCTGGAAGGCATTGTTCAGGCTAGAGTCCTTCACTGTTGCTTTTCCAAACAGGACAGCATAAAGTACGTGTGTACATATTTGGTGACAGAGTAAACAGCTACTTTCAACTTGGCTCCATACCGATCTAGTTTGCTTGCAGCGTCATCTATCAGCCAAACGTATTGCTTTAGCAACATCAATAAATCTCCAACTTTGCCGATAAAATTTACCTCGGTTTGATATTATATCTTCAAAGCCATTCTCAATACAAGCGGATCAGTGCTAGTAGGTGCTGAAGGAATTTCCATCATTTCAAGTCAGACATCCCCAATATCAAAAGATTATGTTGCCTCAATTCTCCTATTTAAAAAACCACACAGAATGTGTCCGAAAATTGTCTGGATTTGATATAGACTCATATATAGATCATAACCGATGTTGGTCTTTTCATATCGCCGTGGTCAGTGGTGGTGGTAGTGAAAACCATTGAGTGTTCACCGTCTTCAGTCCGAGATGGACTCCATCTTCGTTCGTCTGTTTCCGGGTGTCAGGGCCGCACCAACTATCTCCAGGTTGCACAGCATAATCTGTCGTTTTAGAGCACAATAATTCTCATCAAATTTTCCGTGATGAGGGAGCATGTGGGCCTATTTTGCTCATCGCACAACCACTTTCGATTGGACCGTTTATCTTGTGTAAATGACGCAGCAAGCAGCTACGTAATTTGTAACTACATTAATCATATGACCACGGCCACGGTCAGAGATATTTTCCGAAGAAACCCTGATGAATATCAAGACAACAAGCCAAGGCGTCCGTAGTCGAGTCATGCGTTATTGTTACTGCAATTTCCACCTTCGAGGTGGACAGAAATAACGAAGGAGTCCGAAAGAGCATTTTGTGCGTCTTGACAGCGAGTTTGCGCGATGGCATTTGGATGGCATCTAAGAAGTGGAGGCTATAATTCATGTTTGGAGGAGACTGATGTTTTACTACTAGGAGAGACCATCGATACACAGTATTTGTCAGTAGCTAAACGGCCTACGCGCAGCCCGTTATTTGAAGTTTCCACTAGAGGCTTCTGGATTCTTTCGATTTATATATAGTATTTTTCGAACTTTTAGAACCCCAGCAAACCTACACACTTGACTTCTCTTCTGATGGTCTCGAACTCGCCACTGCTGGTGTGGACAAGAAAATACGCATCTACACGCTACAACAAGGATCTGTGGTGGGTTTACCAACCCTGATCAAGGACGATTGTGCCGACCAGGATGGCCCTGGTAAGTAATTCAGCCTGATCTCTTACTTACACAATAACGGCTTGGATATTGGTACCCTGATGGAGTGTGAACCGCGGTTAGTACACGCTCATATGGACTCTAACCATTATCAGGCCGATTTCCACCAGTTTATCAGAAAAGGTTGACCAAATGGAACAAACCTTCATATACGTAGCAGGAAGGTTGTATAAATGGGNCTAACCATTATCAGGCCGATTTCCACCAGTTTATCAGAAAAGGTTGACCAAATGGAACAAACCTTCATATACGTAGCAGGAATGTTGTATAAATGGGAGATATCTTTGAAGCCGTAGCCACTTGCTCCATATTTCGAAGTTGATGCTTTATTCATCATGACCGATTAGGAATTCGTGGAATACTGGCTTTCGCACCAACCCATTTATGAAACGGCCATCGGTAATAATATCTGTATTGTTATGATTGACAGCAAATGATGAAGGTTGAAAGCGTCTTATTATACTTTGAAATGTTTACTTCTTACAACCTGTGTGGTCACTTGGTTGAAAATCAACAAGGTTATTTGGTATAATCATGATTTTTCTGCTGCACTACTACACTGTTTGATAAGAACGAGGAAAGGTACAAAAGTATTTGTATCAGCTTGACACTTGATTTCATATTCTCGACAAGACAAGGGAAAAAGTTCTCCGAAATATAAGAATCAGAATGTTTTGTTTATCGTCTGGTAGAATCTCGATCTTCAGTTTATTTTGCCATTTAGCTCCAAGACCAAAATGTCCCTGACCTAAATGAGTGTGTAACATGTGGTAGCGATCAAACCCTGGAGCACTACAGTTTTTCTCACTTTCGCATTTTTAGAGGAACGCTGTTGATCTTGTTATTTATTGGACGCACTGTTTCTTCAACTCTCGTGAGGGTACAACAGTGGCAACTGAGGAGCGGCGCGGAGCCCTCGCAAGTGATATCCTGAGGCGAGTCATACTAGTGTCACCGACGGTCCTGCCAACGATTTAATTGCCAGCGTTAGTTGCATCGTTTTTGAACAAACCAGCAAGCTATTCTGCTGGTTCAACCATGTGAAAAGCAGAGTTGAAATATGGGTTACTTTGAACGTTAGAATGGCGAGAAATTGCTCTGGGGATCAACTGCACCTATAAAAGAGAAGATGGCTACCATTTTGGACCCTGGGCAAACGGATTATATATGAGGAGCTAAAACTGTTGACCTGCACGCATTCTTCTTGTTGCAGACGCCATTCCTGAATCAGTTGATCCAGATTTTCAGGGCTTCGATATCCTGGGCCTGTTGAAGGTCATGAGTGGGAATGATGAGAGAGATAAGCAAAAATTCAGCCACGCGACTTACATGGGAGTGCATGATCACCACTCAACTGAAGTCTGCCTAGTGTTAGCACTCTGAACCTCCCACATGTGACATAGATTGTAAGGAATGGGTCATCAGTAATATAATCGAGATTTCAGCGGAAAATATAAAAAACGCCCAACGAGAAGCATTAAAGCTCAACTGTACTCCAGAATATTCATCTTACTAATACAACGTCCTTTTGACCATTTGCGTGTGTGAAGACTGACAAACTTTCCCTTGTTTTCGGGGCTGTGTTCACTTGAAGTGGACTACAAGGTATTTGCTTATTTTCAAGGGTTTTTCGATATTCTGGATTATAGTTACCAGAAACCGAATAATCGCTGAAAGAATACAAGCACTTACCCTCCAGTCTACCAAGGTCGACCTTCCAAAGCAGACGCGATATCACTTTCCCGGTGGGCGTCCCGAACACATAGTGGACATCACGGCTAAACCATTTGTGTTGACGCGCTGTTTCGGCACATCAGACATCTCGTCTCCCGCAGACTTCCCCGGGCCCGCGGGTTACGTGAATGACCCGAAGTCAGTGCCCCCAGTGCGTGAATATGTGCCAACCTCTCCTGGGACAAATATTACTGAAGGTCATTCGATGCGCATCATGGCACTGCGTTATCATCCACAGAAAAACTGTCTGCTTTTTAGCGCTGGCTGGGACAATCTCGTCAAGGTGAGCTGATTTTCCATCCTTCGATGCACAGGTTTTTTCGTTGTCTACAAGAACCATTTTGTTCGGTTTTGGGCTTGTTTGAATTTGTGATATCTCAATTCCAAGTGTTACCAAATACTATAAGTATTTATAGTGAAAACAAAGTCCTTACCTCAGTCACAACAACTCGTAAGATTGTCCCAGATCAACTGATTCCTCCTCGCTATTCCTGTGATTTCAGCTTTGGGACACGCGCTTACAATCCGGTCCAGTTTGGCAAATTTATGGGCCGCACGTGGCCAGCCCAGATGGATTAGATGTGGACGATAACTATTTGCTTACCGCTTCTTGGCGTGCCAAAGACAGTATTGAGGTGAGATACAGTGCAATTTTACCAAAAGCAAAAGTTTAAGTGTAATGTAGCAGATCGATTTCTACTTTACTTTTTTTTGAGAAAGCTTCATGCTCAGTACAGCAGTCTCCTTGGTAAGCACAGATCTGGTTAGTAAATCTTAGCAGGATTAATGCGTCCCAATCAAGCGAGCCCTTTCGCTGAATTGATGAACGTAATAACCCAAAGATCTTCGTCTCGTCCCGAATTTCTGGAAACGTCGGAGCAACAGCTACAGCTGGAGGAGATGACAGTTGATCTGTTCACCGAGCTTGGCAATTGGCTTGCAAACGTTTCGTCCCCAGTCGAGGAGACATGGTCAGTGCGCAGTTGAATGGGTCGAGGAGACATCGTCAATGCGCAGTGCCACCAGTAAACACACCCGAGCTACCTATATTTCGACAAATTGACAGCTAGAGGAGATATTCAGAAGCTAAGTCTGGCCCAGTGTTGGCGAGTTTAAGGAATGTGGAAACGACCATGCAAGTAGCTGTTATGAAGGGCTCAACGAATGGCGTCTCTGAGGATAATGAACGGCCTGTCGAAATTGATATGGGATAACCCGAAATTCGTGTGGTCCACGTAGCTGGTCTATCTAAGCGGCAACTGGTTACGAGTTACGCAGATCTGACAGGCGATGGTGGACAACATCTGTACGAAATGTTTTTGAGGTCAACTCATTCTCTCTTGAGACAGTTTATATCTAGACTGCAGGTAAGAATAGCAAACGGAAAGAGACCCGTGCTAAGTCCAAACTGGGTGAACTCGAATCAACGGGTTTTTTAAGGACAAAAACAGGATTTTGCTGTTGTTCAGCATTCCAGGTTATTCAGCTTATGAGATCACTGCACTACCAACAAAAAGATATAGAGAGAGGATCATTTTAAACAAAGGTACGAGTAACGCATTTGTTTCAGGAATAAACCGCTGAACTCAGTGAGACACTTGGTTATCACGTAAAAATATGGTCTTACTTGATCCTCTCCTCAGCGGAGAAACATTGGAAGAAACCAGTTGACTGGATACCGATTCATCATGTCGCTTTAAAAGAACATCGTATTCCATTCACTAAGCAGCACATATATCTGGTTGCCCCCACCCCCTCCGTCAAAAGATTTGAAAGCTCAATCTTCCAACCTCATAATAGACACACTAATGGACAATCGTTTCGGTTATAGACGGAATGTAAGTAGAGATAGGAAACTAGGCCTGGTCAGTGTTGAAGTGCGACATGACGACCTAAATGCCGCAACAACCCAGTGATCCATACTGGCTGCAACCAGCCCATCAGAATTCAACCAAGGGGAGTAGACGGACAGGCCTCTGTGAGTACCTCACAGAATTGTATTACTTTGCCGTTAAGGGAAAGACCGTACTGTCGTCTGAGGTAGTAGCTTAAAGATTGTAAAGCCATTCCCGGCATCTTTATTTCAATGGAAGCGGTGAAGCTGTTCTCCCCGAGGAACGACGAGGTAAAAGAGTCCAGCGCCAAACTTCGGGGACTCTGTTTGCTGAGCGCTTAACAGTAACCGGTAACATATTATCTAATGCAGTCGAAATGGCTTTAAATGCAAGGATTCTGGTGCATCCCAGAAAGCATCTGCTTTGGACAGCGAGATAAGGAATCAGAACGACATGTTTTGGTCCATACGTGAGGCGAGGCTACATGAATGATAAAGTAATGAATGAATCAGACTGCGTCAACTTGAGGATGAGACTCATCTGAATACGCTTGTCGAGGTTATGGCCTTTGTAAGACAAATAGGTGATTGCTCTAGCTAATGTTGATGATGACGATTAGTGCCTGTGTACAAACTATGACATTCAAACGGAAATAGGAAACGATCGTACGACCAACTGTCTGATATGAGGGGATCCTCAAGTATCAACCTTTTCCTGCTGCATGGTTTCAATGATCCTGTCATCAAGGAAGCGGAAGATACCGTAACTTTGTGAAATCAAAGCAATGAACAACACTGAAAAATGATTACTGGCGGTGAGCAACGAACATTGTGAGGATAATTCTGATTGCTACGTAGGTCCACTCAATGAATGGGCTGTGGTACCTATTAGACTGTATATCCGTGCGGCGTAGGGATAGCAAAATTTGCCGTATGGAATGAATGGCAATACGGAATGCGTCGTTGTACGTGTCAAAGTACATGGAACAGTGTGCTAAAATACCGCAATGCAACTCACTCATGTCGTATAAAATCTCATGGAATGGGAAGGTAGATAATATGCAGTCAGACGATAAGCGCACGTGAATGGGACTGTGGTTGAGTAAAAGCAGCTGGTGTGGATACACTTGGGCTAAAACAACAGAGACGGGACTGGTTTTCCGAAGATGACCTGACAATATGAGCAGTAATTCAGAAGAATGTGGCGTTAGCCAAAACTACTTAATGCAACCTATGAGAGCAGTGGGGAGAGAACAATGGATAAGGGGAAGCGGACAGCTGCAGCTGAACACGCATCGTCGTTATCAAGTGTAAGACATGCAGGCCAGAACTTTGAATAATCGGCTCTGAGGAATATGACCACCAGAAAACCTCAATGCCTACTGCTTGCGAGTGAAAATGTTCAATCAAAGACTCGAGGTGGTACACCTCAAACAAACCCTTTACTTTGGACTGCACCATCAGAAAGCATCCTGTATCTGGTAGCTCTCAACTGGCTAATTTTACTCTACAAGCCCTTCAGCTCTCTCAGCCAGTCGAACCGACTCATTCCAAATGTCATTCTCTTAAGCCAATATTTCGCATTTAGGCTACCGTCCAGAGAAACACCAAAATGATTGGTTTGTTCGCTGAGCTGAAGTACTTGATTGCGAGAGTTTCATCACCAATTGAGATTATATCATCATTGCGTTGTTACTGAGCATATTGGTGCGTAGCAGTGGGTTGTTGGTTGGACAAACGATCATCTACTACCTGAGATCTACTACCTGAGATACCAACACTTTCCTCTATAGAAAGCCAAAATAATTCTTCGATAAAATTAAGGTTCACATTGCAGCTTTTAGGGCCAGTGATTCTCATTAAACAGGATACTATGCACCCACTGAAAAAGCTTTTCTTCCCCTTTTGTGGGTGTATGGCGCATCTGGAAAGTACACGTGTGGAATCTCAGCTTGCTCGTGTACATCAAACCGCTTAGGAAGAGCCCAAATTATTCTAATGGCCCCTGTCAAGCATCTCAACTCGTTAGAGCTATCCGGTTTGATTAGAAGTGCTCTACTGACACACTGTATTTCTTAAACTGAGACAAATTATCCGCTTAGACTTTCTGCTTCAGAGGAAGTGAATGGTTTACATATAGACTGTGCTATGGTGGTTAGTTTGTTCGCTAAGCTGGACTGTTGATTGCAAACGTTTGGAGACAGCTGACCGCATTTACATACGCGAAAGCTTATGAGGAACGCCCTGTTCCTGTTAGTTTTTTGCTAAGACGTCTTTGGTATGGGATTAATTATTGTTTGTTTTTCTATCAGATATGGGATTTACGCAAAATGAATTCTTCCACGGGCAAGCTGCTCGCCAGTCAACTTTGTAACGAGCAGGTTTCCCGTCAGCCTGTACCTCTGGAGGAAGCTGATGATGATCTATGCAGTGCACGAAACAGCATTGTGACCGATGAACCCACGGAAAACAAACCACTCTCAGGCCACGCAGGCGCAGCAGTCGAGGCACCACAGCCTCGACCTGGTGGCCCTGCAGAAGTCATTCCTATTTCTGGCAGCGTTTGGGTTTCCCACCCTTCCAAAGAGAATGGAGAATACCCGTATGCAGCTCGATTACTACCAAGTCGCGCTGTGGTTGCCGGTGGGTCTGGATTCCACGGGGTCCGAGTGGTTGGAAGGGACACGCTTCTGGTGAGTAGGGGTACCACTGGATGCTGATTTGTGAACTCAAGCATAGTCTTCGTCACAAATCCAGTTTCCTAAGTGAAATTGATATGGGTTACCAGCCAGCCAGTTACTGAAAAATTGCAATGATTCTAGTGACTGAGCAAAACAAAAAACCATAAACACAGTGTGACGCTTTGCCTATAAGGTGCCTGCTATTATGATACTTCCCTTATGAGGGATGTTATGCTAGTAACATTATTCGGGGTAGTGATATATTAGGCTACAAAGTTACACCTTCGGATATGAGAATCCTTACTTTAAAATACTCATATCTGTCTCCTTGAAGTACAGCCTTGGTACAGTGAAATCGAATGCATCAACAGTATTTTGATTATCACGGCAACGTCAAAAGTTAGCGAGGATGTTTCTGTTTTAGTCTCATAGGCCAAGCTTTACCACATTTTGATAACAGGACGAGGATGGACGAGCTGGATGGCGCGAAATTTGGAAACGTGTTTTTTGAGATCTTTTTGTCAGTGATTTGAATACGTTTTTTCACTGTTTTGTAGATAAGTATCTAGAACGTCTTCAAGTAGGACGTACAACAATCAAGTAATTTGACTTTTACTCCATATCAGATAACTATGCAGTTTTGTGTCGTTGTGAAATACGCTTGAATGCCATCATTGAAAGTCTCTTATTCGTGTTTATTTGTTTCTACACCCTACACTCTACACGTATGTATAGAGATTCCTAGTCCAAAATTAAAATCAATCGGACGGTGTTTTCAGACTGCTTACAAACTGTATTATCACTTCAATACAATGGCAATGATAGATGTGAACACGCAGATTCTGGTACAATTATGGATTGACAGGGCGACATACGTTGCTCAAAACAGAGTTGCTTGATTTGCCCTGCATTTTTCCACGTCAACCTTTAACCAATCCTTCATAACAAATTATCGTCATAACTGTGAAGAAAGTTAGCGTCTTCTAAAGTGTAGTTTCGTTAAATGCACAAACCAGCAGCGGAGACACTGCGTTGCATACAGGCTACTACCAGTCTTAGAAGGACTAAGTTTGTTAGCTTGCAAAATAATAAGGTACTTGTGCGCTTTTGGACGAACCCGACTGTGGTATATTGGCAATACACTGGTCTTTCGAGTAATAGTGCAATTTACAGTCGCATGCAACCATGGAGAATGGCTCATAAATCATGCCACTTGTCATTCACTAACTCTGAATAATCCGAAAGTTTAAACCTAATGGTCTGTATAGTGGCCCAGTTGCCTCTTAGCTTCTCACCGTCTTCAAAACGTGGAGCCTACACGTCTATGGTTCTGGTTTTGCGGACTATCTACCCGTTTGTGAGTTTTTCTCCGGAGTCACCACAAGAAAGTCACTAACCGGTTTATTTGTATTATTCCCCAAGTGTACTGTTTTTTCGTGCCTAATTAGACTTTCCCTTATTACGCATCACAGAATCAATTCACCTGTCCCCACTCTAATTGGTACTGGGTGGCAGCGTAAAACTCACTAAATTATTGACTGGAAGGGAGGTCTGCTCCAGAAACATAGTGAGGCTAATAGAGTCTGTTGGTGCCATTGTTGGTTGAACAGCCCAAGCCAGTTCAGGTTGATAGTCTTTCCCTACGCGGAAGCGGAGACACTAAAATATGGGCTTTCAAGGGCTTACAATCGCACGCAGAAATGGTCAGAAAGTTAATTAACTGATTCAATGCGATTGGCGCAGTAATCCAACATGGCATTAGTTCAGAGAAATTCACGGACAGCGTTAAGTTTATGGTCAATCTTACTCAATCATGCAGCAAATTTTAGGTATCTTCAAGCACAATCAAAAGCTGGTAATGAACGAGTTTAGTGGTGGGTCACAGGTAAATAGAGGCCGGATGGTTTCAACATGTCCCGATAAACGTTATTTTCATGCACTGTTTTGTGTCGCCAACCCTTACTGGAAATTCACGTACGGTGTAGTCAACACATCGATGAAAAGCCAAGGGTAAAGTTACGAACCCAGCAAAGTCCATTTTGTGCGTTAGGGATGAGCTTCTTTGGCAGTTAAGCAGGGTTCAATCACTCACAATTAAAAACGGTGACTAGCATTAACTTTGATATTACTGCCAACCAAATAAATTTGGATATCACAAATCTTTCTGGATGTTGAAAATTGAACTTGGTTTCTATGCGCTCCCTTAATTTCTCTTCGATCTTCTCAATAGCCAATCGCTCGGATACCAATGGATTCAGTGGTTCAGTGTATGGACACTATTCTAGAAGGTCGTTATATTGGGGTCGGATGTTCCAGTGGCACCGTTTCAATAATTGGTTTGGCCTGAGCATCCATCATTAACTACCAAGAATAACATTACTTCAGCGTCCTTCCATGATCTTTCATTTCTCAAACCCAGGTGAACGTGCGTCCAGCTTCTTCATTGTGACTATTTTTGAAGTGTGAAAGTGCTTACTTCACCAGGAAGTTTGCAGTTTTTCAGGAGCTACCTGCATTTCTAGGGTACAGCGCAGCCGTCTTCGACGCATTCGAAGTTGGCTGTCGAACCTTCTGTTTAAAAAACCGTAGTGACTGTGTGAAATTTGTGCAGGAAATATCAACCGTATATGGGAAATTCAACGGTTTGCTGCCAGTATTTGTGTTCTGTTTCATTTCGGGTCATGGGTCTGTTTCATATGTGCGGAATATATATTTCTCCTGATCCGTGCGGCCAACACAATTTGGAAACGATTCCAAAGGTCTGATGTTACTGTCCCACCACAAGTGTGCTCTCACTTGCCATACTCTACTGTTGAACGGTAGAGCACGTAACTAAGGGCTACACCACTGTCCACGTGAATAATTCGACCTTCCAATAACTGACCTGCTGCAATGAAAATTCGGCCTTCCAATAACTGACCTGCTGCAAACAATGAAACCAGCCCTTTGGTTTATCATAGGTATCCATGACTCGTTCGACCACGTGCATAGGATGAATTCAGTGAGTATTGTCTCTGAATCCCTAAATTAACACAGTGAGAAAGAGTCGCTCACGCGACCAGCGGTAACCATAGGAAACGTCAAATTTCAATTTTTTAGGGGAAAATGTGTAATCGGACTGCGACTGACCTGAATCTTTGGAGGGTGCTTATGACATTACAAAACCAGCTCGACAGTTCATTATTACACCACTGTTTTATTCATTGATATGGGAAATAACCAGAGCGACAGGTACCACACAGAGGAAATTGGAACTCTAAGGGGGCACAATGTGTCATATTATTGTAACTTGGAAATTCCAATCAGAGTCTGGTGCGTATATCAGCTGAAATTTTGAATCCAACTAGCAACTGTGTATAACTCCACATAAATATCTGATTAGCAAGAAGTCCAGCTTAACCGAATTAACCGGGTATTTTTCACACTGATGAGTGTTTGTGAGTAGTTTGATTTCGTTATTTCTGCATGTAAGTTAAAAATGCTTTGTTGCTCTTTGAATCACTTGGCACATGCTGGAATTCATGAAATAGAGACGTGTAAGCCAGGGTGTAAATGGAAACAGATACTAGCGGACACTCCACATGTCAACTCTATCGGTTGCGCCCAACCGCACGGTTGCTATGACGACACTTGCGTGCAGTATTCTCCATATCCCGGTAACAAATTGTAGAATAACTTTTTGTTGGCGTTGTTGTACATCACTATAACCTGAATGACGCGGTTAGATGAATGTGTCTGAGCCTGAGCAGATGTTACAAAAAACTTTTTCCGACTCTTTTGTTGTATTATGTATCTATATTGGGTCAAGCCCTAGTACCAATGTTAGGGACGGTTTTTTCAGAATACTGTCACTTCGATTACTATCAACCACTTACTTGTCACGTGAAATACAGTCGAAATGTATGCTGTTGCAGATTCGAATGGCGGAAAGCTAGAAAGTTTTAATCTCAGTTATTCAAAATTAGTCAGATTTTCCTGAGTGCATAGACTTGGCTTTCAGCATTTCATACTTCTTATCCCAAGTTGGGAAGCCAATTGGGGCTAGTCACGTCCATGGGAAAACTATATATTGGCGTCCGTTAGCTGAGTGAATTGGCATCTTCGTTACTGTCTGGCNAGGGAAAGAGCGATCAGCTTACATCAAACAAACCTGATCGAGAGTAGACGCTGCCAACAGCCGAGTGTGTTGCTGGAATTCACTATAACGGACTCAGTCTGTCTATTTTCCTTGGGTAATAATTTTATCGTATACTGCCAAACCCCACCCTCGCAGTTACTGTAACACCCAAGTTACATCTGTGCCCTATCCTGTACTTAAAGGTGCATCACAGATAAAGAAAGTGACATACAAGAGGCTGCATTTGAGCTGTCCAATTCTGGGGGGGGGGACCAAATGTCACTCCATTGCGCTTCCGGTTTCCTTCTGTTTTGCAAACTAAACTGTTAAAGTCCGCTTTGCCAAACCAATTTTGGCCTTTGTCTGTCCTGATATGTCTGATGGTCCTCACACTTCACCAGTCAGGCATAGCGTTGGTTGGCAGAACATACACATTCATTTGCATTCAAGTGGAATTTGCTAAATCCAGCCAGATTTAGACGATTTGATACCAACCAATCCCCGACCACATGTTTGTGTTGGTACGCGACTGTTTGGAAAGGCACGTTGACGAACGCCGGCCAGTTATGCGACGTCGTTCTAGGGCGCGTTTGGATGGCCAAATAATGTGGGAATTTCCGCCTAGCAGTAACAGGAATTTGTGACACCAGTTTGTTAACGGTGGAAATGATGCAGTTTATAACGTTACTTCCTTGCTTCAAAGTTCACAAGAGATTGATGTGCATTCGAGTCCAGTTCTGCTTAACGAAGATGATAGGTTATGGAGAAACAGTACTCTCCATAGTCAATGACCCTCTTCGTCAAATCTTTTCTTCTAATGTGATTTTGCATGTGATGGTACAGGATTTTCGAAAGATTCAGGCTCTTCGTTTCGTCTGTGTTTAGATCAGTCCCCCAAAATAATTAATTTGCTTGGCTTTTTGAAGGCGCATTAAAGAAAAAACAGGTATTATTTGGTCAAAAGTACATCGCACGTATCCTGTGAGACGCCTTACTTTAACAAACGTTCTAGGATCCGGTATGATATGAGTTCCTTAGAAAAACACGAAAAATAAGATTACTGGAGGAATTTCGAACACCAACAGAATTTCGAGGAATGTGTATCAAGTCTATAAATATTCGGAAGTTTCAGTTTCAGCGGGCTGTCGATGGATTCTCAGCAACCTTATGAGTAGTAGATTACAAAGATTCTGAAGTTTCGCCAAGTTTATGTATTAATTGTCTTATCTCCGTATTATTCTCGTAAAAATTTATCTCTGTAATGCAAGTGGGCTACCTGGTACACATTTTTGTGCTCTATCAAGTCGACAGATTTTCGAATAGGTCCAAAATTTAAGTGTATGATGCCTAATTTACGAAAAGTGAGTGACAATACAAAAAATTAAGACAACGGGTAGTTCCTTTTTATGGTCAAATTCAGCTGCAACGGTTGATGCACGGCGGAACTTTGTCGGTTGTAAGTTTGTGCTGCTGGATATTTTGGTACTTTCATAAGGTAATTCGAGAAAATAATTCAGGGGGCTCTATGTGAAAATAAGATTTCTAGGCTTTTGTCCAACCGGTTGCCTATAAACACAAGCGTTGCTTGAGTATTGCCAAAACATCTGAAGTGACCTGTCACTTTCACTGAAACATTGTGTAAAAAAATCTTAGGACATCTTCTCTATGCATGCATTATATGGTCTACAATGGTTGATGATTTTGCATTGATGACTACTGTACGGTAGAATACTACACACAGACTCTCAGTCATTGGTATGCATATGCCAATTGTCTCGTATTGTAAAATATTTGGTGGTGTACTTCACCCGCTCTACTCTTTGATATTCTAATATGAACTCGTTACGGCAGATTGCGTGCAGTCTTAAAATACCCTCCTTGGGGCATAAAAATTCGGGTCATACGTGTGATGCAAACATTCCAACCCAGATTGCTAGGCCTTTTCCCAACCCCCAGCCTGGCTGCACTTCTCCATTTATCGACATGAAGCGGTCATGGTTTACAGCCTCTGTACGTTTTTCATAAGCAGCTTGGCAAAACGATGCTTATCACTTCAAGGAGTAGTGACCACTCAGCAACGCTATTCGATGGCGAACATTGACGTCTACTGAAGATCATTGTTTCTTTCTGATTGTCTGTCATCTATTTGTTGCTCCAAAATCGATATCGATACCAACAAGTCTAGGTCTATGGCAGGTCAGATGAGCGTCTTGACCTGGTCGAGTTGTTCAAATGGCGAAAAAATACTTCTGGGGACTAGCTAGATTTAATTTACACACCACCACGTTCAGAGGACCAAAAGCTCGACAAAAGTGCTCGAAGATAGATGAATGTCGCATTAACAAAACAAAAAGAGCAAATTCATGGAGTTCTCTCAACGAGGATCACAAACTTGAACCCAGAGAGGTCATGAACACAGATCACTCCAGCACCAACCAGAGTACCAGGGTGGAGGAAGCCAAACTCATAAGTCACGTGGTCAGTGACAAAGTAGGGCATAGTACGGCAGACCAACCAATGGAACCGCTCTACCAAACAACCAGTCGTGATCGAAAGTCAGATCATGCCAGCAGCATGTATACTAACGCACTTGTAGCACCATTCAAAGCATGGTCACCAATCCACCGCGACTCTCCACTACACACCCTATCAATGCGCTGATGATGACACCTCGGTTAGTAGTGAAACGTTTGCAATCAAATTGCCCAGCTCAGTGAACAAACCAACAGCCATCTACGTTACCTGAGCTACCAAAATTCTCCTCACTAACACAGCAAACATGTTATTTACACTAAAGACAACGTCACTTCACGTGTTAAGACCTGTTTTGGGAATGGCATTGTCGTCTAGATAGGACAGACGAGCTGGCAATTGAAACATGCACTACACGATGGAAAATGCATCCATAGTTTCCGAGCGAAACCCTACTGAACAACAAATGCTCAGAAAGCAGCCGTTGTTATGCACGCTCGAAAACAGAAATAGAGTGTCCACCTACACATGAAGAATGCTGCTATGTAGAACAACTTCAGTCCACATTCGCTTTGTGTTTAAGAAGAATGAGCATCATCAGCCAGTAGCCTGACTGGCTGACATAGATCCAATTCACACATGCGTAGTTCTGTTTTTCCATATTAAAAGAAATTAGCTAATGTTGATCTCACAACAAACTAGGGTAGCCGGCCCCGGTGTGTTTGTTCCTCTTTAAACTTTCGTCTGTTTCTATCCTG